TTGAGGGGCTGGAGTGTGGCCAGAGAAGGGCAACGAAGCTGCTGGGGAAGGGTCTAGAGCCCAAGTGTGGGGAGGAGCAGCTGAGGGAGCTGGGGGTGCTGAGCCTGGAGCAAAGGAGGCTCAGGGGAGACCTTCTGGCTCTGCACAGCTCCTGACAGGAGGCTGGAGCCAGGGTGGCATCGGGCTCTTCTCCAAGGAACAAACAATAAGACAAGAAGAACGGGCCTCAGGTTAGGTCAGGGGAGGTTTAGGTTGGACCTGAGGAACAACTTCTCCTCCAAGGTTGTCCAGGGCTGTGCCAGGCTGCCCAGGGCAGTGGTGGAGTCTCCACCCCTGGAGGGGTTTCCAAGCCGTGGAGATGTGGGGTGAGGGACACGGGGCAGTGGGGACCTGGCAGTGCTGGGGGATGGTTGGATGAAGTCCATTTTTGTGGGTAGAACCTGGTTACTAGACAAGGCGACGAGTCGGGTGTTTGGGCTGTATCGAAATCTCTGCTTCCTCTCTTTTCCAGGTTTTCTCCAAAATCTTCAGCCATGAAGCACTGGAGAGCTATCTCCCCAAGATCCAGCTGGTGATCAAAGACACCCTTCGAGCCTGGAGCAGCAACCCCGAGTCCATCAACGTCTACCACGAGGCCCAGAAGCTCACCTTCCGCATGGCCATCCGCGTCCTGCTGGGCTTCCGCATCCCTGACGAGGAGCTCAACCGCCTCTTTGAGGTCTACCAGCAGTTTGTGGAGAATGTCTTCTCCTTGCCCGTGGATCTGCCCTTCAGCGGCTACAGGCGGGTAAGAGATTTGGGCTGAGTCCTCCACCAACTGATAACACCACTGTGGGATTAATGGTGTGGTGGCTAATCCTCAACTCCATAGATTCTTGGTGGGATGTCTTCTCGCCCTCAGACCTCCAGAACTGAGTCCATTTTGGGCTATTAAGTCCTGTTTTAGTGGAGTGGAGAAGAAGATCCATTCATGGGTTTTTAGAGCGCTAGGGAATGTCCAGTCTGATGCCAGGGAGAAGACAGAATTTGCCCAGATTTAATGCACAATTCTCCCTCACTGATAACAGTTTTGCTGCTTTTTTGTTTGTGAGACCCTTCTGTCAATTCTCTCCCATCCCCAGGACAAAAATATCAGTAGACCTTCCAATTCCAACAATGATTCTATTTTTCTGGTGAGCGATGCAGAGTGAAAACGTAACAAAAAATGTAGGGGAAAAAAAAAATAAATTTTTATTCCCCTGGGGAATTTTGGTAAGAGAAAAACGAGGTTCTGAGATTTATTTCTGTGATTATCACTGCAAATTCTGTTATTGCTGTGAATGAGCCCAAGTGTTTGCAGCCCCAGCAGCAGGTTACCCGTTGCAGCTGCCCTCGGGTAGGAATTGCTTTACTGAGCCCGGGTGATAAAACCTCTTGGGAAGCCCATTGGGCTCCCAGGAAGAAGATCCTCACAGATGAATTGACTTTCCTTTGAGAGACAATTTTCCCAGGGACTGCCATAGATCCCAGGGTGAGTTGGAGGCCTGTGAACTGGAGCAGTACTGGGGCTCCCACATCAGACCTATCATTTGCACATAGGTGCTGATTACTCCTGCCTGTAATCTTGTCCACTGGGAGTTTGCTCCTCCTGCCCAGGGAACAACCTCAGCATCTTTAAACTTCTCTTTGAGTGTTTTCAATCATGGTTGTATTACTGAGACACGTCGTCCTGAGCACGTCTCCAGCTCCTGAGGATGCTGGGTTGTGGATGCTGGTGTTAGTGTTGTGTCCTGTGTGGTCTGATGGAGCAAAGGAGGCTCAGGGGAGACCTTCTGGCTCTCAACAATTCCCTGAAAGGAGGTTGGAGTGAGGTAGCTGTTGTTCTCCCAAGGAACAAGGGACAGGAGAAGAGGAAAGGGCCTCAAGTTGCCCCAGGGGAGGTTTCAGTTGCCCCTGAGGAACAATTTCTTGCCCTGGAGGGTTGCCCAGGCCTGTGCCAGGCTGCCCAGGGCAGTGGTGGAGTCCCCACCCCTGGAGGGGTTTCCAAGCCGTGGAGATGTGGGGTGAGGGACACGGGGCAGTGGGGACCTGGCAGGGCTGGGGGAAGGGTTGGACTGGATGATCTTAAAGGTCTCTTCCAAGCACAATGATTCTATGATTCTATGGCTTCCTGCTCCACAGGGCATCCGGGCACGTGAGACACTGCAGAAGGGGCTGGAAAAAGCCATCCAGGAGAAACTGCAGAACACGCAGGGCAAGGACTACGCTGATGCACTGGACATCCTGATCGAGAGCGGCAAAGAGCACGGCAAGGAGCTGACCATGCAGGAGCTGAAGGTAAAGATCTTCCCCATGGCCACCTTCTCTTTGCTGTGCTCAGGCCAGGGGGTCTCCAAAGAGCAAATCCTGAGCTGCTGTAAGGAGGATTTTTTTGGGGGCAGACCTGAGATGATCAGTGAGAGCTGGAGGACCATGATGTGTTGTTGGAGCTGCTGGTGAATCCTGGTCTGGTGGATTATGGTGCCAAGAAGCCAGTTGCTTTCCTATGGGTCGTGTTTATTTGCATATCATGCTCAGCCCTTTCTAAAAAACTTTTCCTGGAAATACCAAAAGACCATATAGATTGGTGAAATGTTCAGCCTTGACCTGCTTCATCTGTTGACCCATCTAGTTTTACGATGCCTCTTTTTGCAGGGCATATGAGCCCTCAGCAGGTTATCTGCAGCAGGGTCATGGCATAACTTGTCCCTCGTGTGCTAGCAAGAGCCATCCCCAGGGCTTTTTCTTCTGCCTATCTGCTCCTCAGCACCCTCCAAGGCTCTGTGGGAAGCTCCCTGTGGCAGGTCTCCAAGCCCTGTACCTGCACAAGGAGAGATCTTGCAGTTAGATGTGACCAGGGTAGAGAGCTGCTGGGGGGAAAAAAATGCCCCTTGGCAGCCTGACTGCCTGTCCCTGATGTGCCACGGCTGATGGCCTCTCTGTCTGTCTGTCCATCCCCTGCGTCTCACCCTGGCTTTGCTCTGGCCTTTCAGGATGGCACCTTGGAGCTCATCTTCGCCGCCTACGCCACCACCGCCAGCGCCAGCACCTCTCTGATCATGCAGCTCCTCAAACACCCCCGGGTCCTGGAGAAGCTGCGGGAGGAGCTGCGCAGCAAGGGCATCCTCCACAACGGCTGCATCTGCGAGGGCTCCCTGCGCCTCGACAACATCAGCAGCCTCCACTACCTGGACTGTGTCATCAAGGAGGTGCTTCGCCTCTTCACCCCCATCTCCGGGGGGTACCGGACGGTGCTGCAGACCTTCGAGCTGGACGTGAGTATCGGCACCTCTCCGGGGTGTGGCTGCACTGGGAGCTTCCCAGAACGGCTCTTTGCGTGTTGTTGCAGAGCTCGCTTGAGCCTGGCTGTGGTGAAACCTCAGGGAGGCCAAATTAGGTCCTGCTGATGATGGAATCGCTCTGGGTTCAGAGGAGGGTGATGGGATCTGGCCCGTGGTGGGGAAGGGATGCGCTCGAGCTGTCAGAGAGGAGACAGGCGTGATGCATCAAAGAGCAACTCGTGACAATGGTTGACGCCAAAATCCGAACTGGGGTGTGACAAGGGAAACGTTTACTGCAAAGGGCATCTCCAGGCTGCTGGCTGACAGGAGGATTACTCACCGCCGTGGCTGGAATTTCCTACTTAGCAAAACAAAATCTTGAGACCTGGCTTGTCGCTGTAAATCCTCCTAATGTAATGATTTGAGTCGGAAACCTTTTAAAGTGCTCAGGGGATGATAAATCCGCCCCGTTTCTCATCGGCCAGGCCCTGACATGTGCGTGGGGGGCGTGGGGCTGACAGGCGGCGGGGTGTGAGCAAAGCCCTGGGATGCTCTGGGGAGGGTTGGCCGGCGTGTGGGGCACGGCACGGGCAGGAGGAAAGCTGCTTCCCTCTGCTCGGCGGCCGTCGAGCACCACGGGGCTCCTGGGAGGCGACTCCTGCCAGCGACCGCAGAGCAAATAAATAGCAACGGATCACCCGTCGGGTTCCTGGGATGGAGGCAGGAATAAACCTGGGAATTCCCATCTCCCAGCCCTTTGTGCTGTGCTCGCTGGGTTTCTTTTAAATCTGCATCACGCTCAAGTAATAAACCTGTAGGAAATGGGGAAAAGCAGAAGAAGCAAAATGGCTTTATAGAATCATAGAATCCTTTTGGTTGGAAGAGACCTTTTAGATCATCAAGTCCAACCGTTAACCCAACACTGTCGGGTCAAATACTTTATCCTCCCTCTCTCTTTACAGTAGGGTTGACTCGCTCTGGTTTTCTCTCCACCCCTTCCCTCTCCTCCGCAGGGTTTCCAGATCCCCAAAGGCTGGAGCGTGATGTACAGCATCCGGGACACCCACGACACCGCCCCCGTCTTCAAGGACGTGGACATCTTCGACCCCGACCGCTTCGGGCAGGGTCGAAGCGAAGACAAGGACGGCAGGTTCCACTACCTCCCCTTCGGAGGAGGCGTACGGACCTGTC